GTACGAACTGTTAGGGTCACTACAATAGAAAACAGCACTTGGACAGTCGATCACAATCAGAAATCAGTATGGAATCAATGCAGGTCTGATCTGAAACCAATCTGTAATCACGGTATATGCATGAAACTAGTGCAGGTCTGATCTGAAACCAATCAGCAACCATAGTATATGCATGAAACCAGTATAAATCTGATCTGAAACCAATCAGCAATCACAGTACCAAGCAGTTCGTACAAGTTTTCACCCCCTAAAAGAGCTTGAAACCAAAAGCAGGTCTGAAACTAGCTTAGAGAGCAATCTGAGATGCTGGAACAGAATTAGGGTTTCAATCGTAGGTCTAAAATAAGTGCTCAGCCGCACTTTCCAAGCAGTCCGTATAGTTAGGTTTTGTCGTAGGGTCAATGTGAAACCCTAAAACTGATCACCTCTGGGAGAAAGCCCTAAAACAAGCACTTTCCAAGAGGATAACAAGAGTTCGGTCCAACAGAAAGGTTTGCCTTAAGGTTAATATCAAACCCTAGAACTGAGAGAAAACCCTAAAACAGTTCGGCCGCTCCTTCTWGATAGGTCCAACCTATCTTAACTGATAGCAGTCTCTAGAAAATAAATAAGACTTACCCAGAGAATGTTGTTCGCTACCTTCCAAGGTTGCCTGACCCCTAGCCTTCTCTGATTCTTCCTGATTACCAACACTCTGCAAGCTGTGGCAAGTCTTCAACAGCTGCGAACCTCTTCTGGTAACCTCCAAGAATCAGCCAACGTATACTTCTTCATAAATTTCCAGCCCTAGACGGTTCTCATGTGGTCGGTTGGACTAGACTCACATGAGAAACCCTAGATAGATAGGCTCTGATACCAAGTAGGCGATCAAGACTACAATCAGCCTTGAACCCTAATAGATTTCAAATTAGGAAAAGTAGAAGAAAAGAAGAGAAAGGGAGAAAAGAGAGGAGAAGAACTGGAGAAACAAAGGTTAAAAGAAGGGACAGATTCAGAATGATCTGCCGCCGCCACTCTCTTAGTATTTATAGGTTATGTTCAGTACATAGAGAAAGGACAGATCTGCCCTTAGTACTTACATGACAAATAAAGCAAATAAAAAACTGAAATAACAAACTAACCACCAACTGACACTACCATGACTGAAACAAATAATTACACATACTGTCCTACGAACACAGTGGGGACCACAACTGTGGGGCCCACATCAGTGTTCTCTACACTTATGTATATAAATTTAATTGACTACTACATAAATATGTTGATTCATAAAGAAATAAAGAGAGCAACTTGATAAAATGCAACGAGATAAAACAATGTTGGTACTTCCATTTACTAGAAAGAGAAGGATTTGAAAAAGCATTGTCAGATTTTAGTCTACCATGAGAGGGAATACATATTATTTTCTCTTATATACCAGTTTCTTTACTTGAAATGGAAGTTTTTCCATGGAGAATAACTAACTAAAATAACTAAATGGATGAGCTTCCTTGTAAATCTAAGAGTGAGAACTGGTTTAAGAATTCTTAGACGATGCCTGTCAAATATAGGTTTTCATGGACCAGCCCAGGCTTATTACCTATGATAAGGGCTTTATATCATATTACCAATATGTCAGAATCATAAAAGTGATAACCAATCAGGTGGTATTGAATAAAATTCATGGGGGATTTTGATTGGTCAAAGTTCTTCTGATATCATATCTTTCTGGAACCATATATGGGTGGGTCAGGATGGGCCTTTATACAAACCTAGGCCGAAGACTGGAAATTTCTGGGCTGGGCTGGGCTGGGTCAGGCTATAATTGATCACCTCTGCACTGACAAACGATACTCTTTTGATCACTAGTGATATGTTATAATAAATTTGCAAGTTTGTAACAATGTTTTCTGCCAAATAGTAGTCCCTGAGGAAGTGTGATGCTTATATAATAATGCAATTTTGTATGTCATTATTGGAATTCCTTGTGTGATACAAATAGAAGCAATGTGGCCTATTTGATTAGTTATAAGGTTTTACTAGGTGAATTTAGAAATCATTTGGTCTATTTTTGCTTTCAGGAGAGATATAGCAGTCCGACTGAATACTATTTATAGGATCAACCATTCTCAGGTATAGAACATATAATTTGTTGACTGTTTTTCTTCTTGTGCATGTAAAGTAGGCACAGAGATTGCCTCTTAATCATTAGATAGATGGAATACAATAAAAATAATTCCACCCCCACCTAAAGAAGAAAAGAATGCACAAATTTCTGCATGTTTGGGTGGTGTCCATAACTATACAACTCTATTTGGTGGAAGGGCAATTGGCAATCTTTGAACCCACATTCCTAATGTAACAAGTGGGGTTCTCTCTTCATTTACATATCAACTTCCCAATATCCATCCATGTTGATGCAACCCATGCAAGTATTCCTCTTGTTTCCAAGCAATTTTCTAATATGAATTTTTTCTTACAGCATCAGAAATATCTATTGAGAAGAATGCCCACTTCTACCTGCCTTGTGCAAAGCTCCAGCTAGTTTTGCTTCACATCCTAATCCTTGAAGGAGCAATAGGCACTCACCAGAAAGCATGGATTAATTTGAAGAGTATCTRCAAAACCACTGTCAAGGATGTACAAGCATGGCTCTGTAGTTATGAGTTTTTTAATCAAATTTATAAAAAGTATAGGTTCTAGTTTGAGATTGAGACGGATCAGGTTGTTTTGAACTCCACATTCGTATGATGCTGAATTAATAAATGCCAAATTCCAACTAATTAGGCTCTATTTTTGTGCCAATGTGTTTATTTCTTCTTATTATAAGATCATTTAGATTTACTCCTCTTTAACAGCTATTAACTGCATGGCTGTTTCCATTCTAAGTTGAAGTTCGTCTTATGTGGAAGTTGACATTGGTCTTCGAAGTTTTTCTATCTTGTGATTAAGAAAATAGTTAGAAACATTTGTATTTTGTTTGTGTATTGTACGATATGTATCGGTTTTTGAACCTACCAATATGCTAAATACTGGGAGTTGGGACATGTGGCCACTTTTGAAGGGTAAAAGGTAAAACCCTTTCTAAAGATGTCCTGGCTCAACTCTTGAAATTAAAAGAAAAATAAAATACAAAGTCAATCCAAGTCTAATTCTCTGAATCATTCGATACAGAAAAAATTGTATGGCAAGGGTATGTGCTGATCTTGTTACTATGCAGTTATCTTAAGGCCTTACATTTTTCAGGACCTACTTTCTTCAGTAAATGTACTTATCCATATTTTTTTTTGTTTAATTTATTCATCTAAATGTATCTTGTGGGGTTTTTTTTATCATTTTAATTTTTTTTAATCTACCCTCTACTTGGGAATAGGGCTGTAAACAGTATTCAAAAATCCGATTTCGAATTCGATATTTGACATAATCGAATCGAATTCGGATAATTCGAGTATTTAATCTATTGAATTCGGATATCCTATTCGTACCGAATAGTTAATCGGATTCAAATTCAGATATAACCTGATTCAATTCGATAAATATTCGAATTCGACCGATTATTTAATTCTTATATAATATATAAAATATTTTATATATAATAATTAAGTTATATAAATAATTTATATATTTAAATACTTTATATCAATAAAATATTTATTTTATATATTTATTAATTAATTAATCGAATCGAATATTTGAATATCTAATTGAATTCGAATTTGGATATTAATTTTCAATATTCGTCGGATATCGAATCGAATTTGAATATCAAWTTTTTTTAATCGGATTTGAATTCAGATATTGCCTTATCCGATTCGGATTCGATCCGTTTACGCCCCTACTTGGGAAATTCAATTTACCCAAGTCCGAGAAATGTATCAGTATCACTTACTCAAGTAAGTGAGACCTAGAAAAATCAATTTGGATGTGGGTCCCACATATTTTTGAAATAAGAACGTGGATAAGTTCATCAATGGAAACTATGATCCCATTAACGAACTTTCCCTCTTCAAAATCCCAAAAACGAACCGGGCCTAAGGGTGTATTAATCAGTATTGTCAGACTCTGAACCGGTGACCAGTGACCCGGTGAGCTTTTTGGTTCTGCGATGTCTGAGTGACAATACAGACTCCAATTGTGGTCGAAGAGAATCTGGTCTGGCATGGGATTAATTAACCTTCCACATTGAAGCTTGTCACTGCTAGATAAACAAGCTGTAGCTTATGGGACTTTTGGCAGTCATCCACCATTTTTTACTCAGTCTTGCTTATCCGAGTAGTTAATACGCATCAACAGAGGATATTTCATTGATATCTAGATCTAATAAAGGTTTTATATGTTTAGTATTTCTTTTTCTCTTCGGATAATCATTTTACAATTGTGACAAGCCTACAGTAACATTGGTGGGACTAACGTTTTAAAAAATGTTCCGGAAATGTAATCATTTTAGTCACCGGTTTTTGGGTCGACGTTCTGATCATCCGGTTCAAATGGATAGCCTATTCTGACAAATAAATTAAAAAATAAAAAATAATTAATAATTAAAAAAACGGTCAAAACCATTGAACGGGTTGACGAGACGATGGTTCAACTGCCCGAGTTAACGATTTGTTGACTTTTTCAATATTTTTTTACTAAAACTGGGTTTTAGGTAAAATGAAACCGATTTCTTGGATGGTTCCCGGGCCAAACGGTCCAACCGTCCGAATCAACAGCGGTTCGAAAACCTTGGATGAGACCATCTAGTTTATAAGCCATGAATTACTTACACGTGTAAAGACAGATGATACATCCGATAGTTCCCACTTGGAGATTAGATATGCCAAAAGTTTCTTGGCTGGATGACCCTGACTATATGAGAGTTCTTTTCTTTTTCTTTACTTGTCATTTGTCAATGAACCAATGACTGCTTCTTTCTTGGCATGTCCATAAGGAAGCCAAGGACTGAGTCATGGTGATAACCTGATCAATTTCATTTTTACAGAAGACCATTTTGACATGGTTGTAAGCTAGATTTTTTCTATTATTTTTGGATGATAATGATGGGATATCCATTAAAACATTGGGGCCCACACTCACATTTCCTCCACATATAAGATTATGCCACTCAAAGAGATAACCCTTAGATTCAACCTATATTCCTATGCTCATAGACAAATTTTTAAATGTTTAGGCCTTTTGATTATGATTAGATCTCCTACCTTTTTCTTTCTCACATGGAAGCTAGCTCATATATGTGCCTTAAAATAGTCCAAGTGATAACAACCCAGCTGCTATGATAGAATTCTCTTCCTTATTTTATATGCATTGAATCCTGATTAACAATATTTTATCTTACATTTACTGTACATATAATCATATTTAACTAAATTATTGGGGCCTAAGCAACCCAAAATCCCTACTTAAGGTCTTTGTCGGATGCAGTTTAGTGCATCTCAATTGGGTGTTCTTGTGGGTCCTAATGTGAGAATGTAGGGGTCAGCTCTAGCCTCTAGATTATCAATGATCCTTAAGATGTGATCCAATAATTTAGTTATGGGAACATGTCAGGGAGTCACACTGTTAAGAATCCAGTTATGACCCACCAAATTTCCTGTGATCATACCGATGCTAATGCCCYGGATCCCATCAGAACTCTGAAGCTAAATGTACTTTAAAAAAAGGATTGGCTCAGCCCAGCTCATTGACTTGACTGCATTACCACACTGAAGTGTAAGTTGAAATATTTATTGTTAAAAGCTTTATGAAATATCTCTTTCAGCTTGACTAATACATATTGGAGAAATCTCATACTAAGCTAACCATGCAACCTGATTATTAATAACTAAACCTCTTTGATTATGAGAAAATGAGAATAGTCCAATTCAAGTTGAGTTTGGAAAAAACATGCTTCAAATGGAACTCAAGGAGATATTTATTTCTCTTCACATAAAGGAAACAATACCTGGCTTTAGATCTCTCAAGAGTTATCCATATTCTTTTGGCCAATTCATAGAAGTAATTTCATGTGAAAATGCATGTTAGACAAACATATATAAAGAATACAAAACGAAAAGGTACTAGTAAAGACAACATGGGCTGTCTTTATTTAAAAATGGCTTACAAAGAGAAAACAATTTTCAATTCATTTGTTATTAAAAGCCCTTTTGTAAGTGTTGAAAGTAGTTGGGACATTTTAATAGTTGAGTTGGTCTGACCCTTTGCCTCTAAGGGGGCAAAGTTTATAATGACTTCCTTATTTTTTCAATTTAGTGAGATAGACATCTCACCAGCCTTCTTCTTCTCCGGGTTTTATATAACTGAAATCCCATAACATCTTCCTTGGCTGCATCAAGCATGGCTGCACCCTAGGCCAGATAACACCAATTCAAGATCCAAATATCCAAAATTTCCACCAATTAATGGATATCATCAGATAAATGGACCATCTTCCATGGATAGCTAAGAAAAATTTGATTTGACACATCAATTAAAGATAAAGGGTAAGCAAATCGGATGGTTTGTGGGTCTACTAGCCATGCATATTTTGGAAAGGTTTTTAAAATTGAATCGGACAATGAACCGGTTAGGGTTCAATTCCCGGGTCAAACGGTCCAATCGTTCGAAATGAACATATGGCCCATTCTGACAAAAAATAAATAAAAGATGGTTAAAACCGTTAAACAGTTCGAATGATTCGACCGCCCGAGTTAGTGGTTTGCTGATCAAATCAACAATTTTTGATCACCTCACCGGTTCCTGATTTTTCTAATCCGACCCTCTGGTGTGGTACGGTTTTGAAAACCATGATATTGAGGATGATCATAGCACCGGTCAAAATCAGCATGTGTTGGCTTAAATATCCCTCTCGGTGTTAAATTTGGACAGGAGCTTAACAGGATGAAATTGAAGTTCAGTTAAACTAGGCCAAGTTGATCACATCATAGATCCTTCACTCATAAAAACCATAGCTAAAGCATGGGATATACCCACGAACAATTTGAATACCTGGTTCAGTCTGCCTCTCACTACAGGGTTCACTGTGCCAGATATCATTTAGGTGGATTATTGCCGGTTCACTGGACTAGGCTCTTCTGGGTTTTAAGGATACAGTTCAAGATGAACAACCATCTCAACTTCTTAATGTATGGAGGTGGGATGCCTTAATAATATACATTCACACTGACCAACTAAAAGATGCTAGCTTCACAAGGACCAACTGCATGATGCACCAAACCCTCTAGCTGGGTAATTGTTGTGGACCCATTGGATTTCCCCTCTTGAAACCACTCAACCTCTTTCTCCATTATTCGTATTCATTGTCCATTCCCACCAAACTAGTCACAAGAATATATATATTCAGTTATTTCATATTTTCACTTCAATCCAATCTCTTTATAAGGGGTTTGGAAATAGAGAGATACCCAGAGGAATTTCATAACAACAATCCCGCTTTTCCATATGAATCATAGATTATTGCATAGGCAACCTACCAGATACCCTACATTCATTATGAATCAATGAACTTTTTTAAATATTAAAATGCAGCCATCCCGTACCTCAATAATCTAGTTATGGATGGAAACAGAAAAAAAAAAAAAACAATAAAATGAAGAGAGAATAAGCATTTTTTAAACAAAACCCAAAGCCTTGTATGCCAATTAGGATATTACATTCTTGGCATTGCACTAACAAATAAATTATCAATGCTCTATCTTTACATTAAATGCAAGAGAAAGATCCTCTTATACACCTACTAATGTTTTTTTTTCTTTTATATATATATAG